CTGCAGCTCTAACAGAAAACTCCAATAAGAGATTTCACTTTGATTCTTTTAATTTAAGTCTATTTGTAATAAATCTGATAAGAATGGTATAGCATTTAACCAACATAAATGATGGGCTTCTGTCACAGTACAATTCAAGTTGATTCAGGATTCAAAGATCTTTATTGTCATCACTCAGGTGAAATTATTATAGTGTAAGAATATAAAGAAATAAAGCATCAAGAATAAAAATAACAGCAGCAGCAAGGAACTATGTAGAGAAGATAGAAAAAGAACGATTTACAAATAGTGATGAAATGGTGTAAAAAGGATTTTTTTAGTTGCAGCCCCTGCGGGTGTGTGTGTGGGTTGTGTGAGTGTGTTAGTCACCGTCCTTGATGTGTGTGTTATGAGAGTATCAGAGTGTGACATTTCCCAAGACAATACATCAATGAGATGGTGTGTGCACCTTTGTAAAGATGAAGATAAATAGGTGTAAACAAGCTTGATAGATTTCCTAGTCTTAAAGTTTCAAAAGTCACCACCAGGGTGCAATGTTGCATTGAGGAAAACAACGAGACAAGACTGCTGGTGTGGAGGAAAGCTCACACGAAAGATTAACTTTATCAGATGGAATATCAATAGATAAGAGTTAAAATAAACGACTGAAGAGTTGAAATAAAGAATCATGAATGTTACAATATATATATATTTGTTTGTGGATAATTCCTGGACCAAAGGACCGTTTACAACTAGTGGAAAAAAACTGGATTTTACAGTTTACAACAGACAAGAGGAAGGAAAATTGGGATGAATCCATAATTAACTAATAGAAGTACAACCTGGGTCTATGTATTTGTGTTGACCTTTCAAATCAACTGTTAGCAAGTTAAAAGAAGGAAATGAAACCTTCGTAAGGTTTGTTTCTGTCTCAGTTCAGGTCGGGTGACCCTGAACATGACATGCAGCAGCAGAGTGTTATGACTCACAGACTCTACATCAACAGCCTCAACAATTTGTTTATTGTTTTACGTTGGACAGTTTTTAGAATTTCTTTCACTAGTCTGCTGTTGTGCTCATGATGTTTTTTTTACCACAATCCCAAAGATTCATTCTGGACCTTCTCCAGAGGTTTGCTTTCACACATGAACAGCGCAGCAGGAGATTCTCCACTCAGATGCATTCGCAACAACATAGAAATCTCTGGATTCTTCAAGTGAGGACGCAGTCAGAGGCAAGGCTTTGATTCTGCTGCAGAGATCACATGGTTTATGTACAGCACATCTTTGTCAGTGTCTCCTACGGGTATGACTTGCCTTTTTCATCCAGAGAGATTTGTTTCATTTTATTGTTTTCATCTTCTGTCGTGTGTTAGAAGCGTCGTCTCCCCCACTCACTGGAAGTGAATCTCGTGGAGGATCTCCTGTTGTGTCTCACATTGACTCATCCAGAGTTTCTGCTAGATTGTCAAGAGGAAGTCCACAGAATATATTGAGGCGCTCACTCGGACATTTGCCTTCACACATACAGCCCTTCCGAAGATTGTCCTTGTGATCTCTGGGGTTCGGTGCATGTCTGAAAACAGTTAAGGATTCATTTTAAGTCAAGTTTGCGTGAGACAAAAATATGTGGCTGCTACAAGAATTGGCTGCTAAATGCTTGTGTAGGTTCACCAGCGAGTTGCTAACTTTGTCTGTGTCTACTGTTTCTGCATTCAGTGGAATTTTAACAACTTTTTCCCATCACTTTAATATGAAAGCACTATTATTGTCTTTTAGCATCTAAATGGCCTCTTCAGCTCTTTTTTCTCTTGTATGATGGGACTGCCCTCGCCGGCTTCACATCTGTTTACACACACAACCGTTTCTACTTTCCTTTTACTCTTCTAAAAGCCTTCAATAAAACACTAAAGTGGAAGTCTATTGCCCTTCTCTGCTTCTTACTGTCTTGCCAACAGAGGTAATACACACACACAGGGACACAATCCATGTTGTTCCAATACTGCAGTTATTCACAGTGTCGCTCTTAATGCTATGCAACAAACTAGAAATATCAAACATTCACCTATAATCATAAGTACAGCGCAGTAAGAGGCAGACAGTGAAAGCTACATGTCGGAACAGCAGTGACACAAGCCCCATAATCAAAGTGACTGAGGCGTAGTGTCATCTCGGTCTACTGGAAGAGGCTTTTTTTTCTATGTGGGATTCCAGAGGATTTCATGATCTGTCCCGAAGTCACCAACTGTCCAAATCCTCTCACTCAAAGGCCATGAGAACAGCAGACCCATTGAGAATATTTCAATTCCCAGAGGCTTCCTCTGTGAAGAATCATCCATTCTAATCGTATGACTTATCTACTATCAAACAGAGCCCCCCCCCTGCAGCATCCCATGGGAGTAGATGCAGCTCCAGTTTGTTTACAGATGGCCTCTTCCTACGTCACAAGGTCACGGTGTTTCATGTTCAGCATTCCACGTCCTACAGATATAATAAAAACACGCTGAAGGACGGCTGTGGACAGATGGCTCAGAGCTTACACCGTTCATGAAACATCTCACTTTCTGTTTGGGGATCATATGTTACTGGTGGAAACAAATTCTACTTTTTTGCTACCAAGCAGACAAAATGGTTGCATAAGCAAACGTTGTCACATTCGATGCACCAAGGTCAGTGTGCTGAATGGATCATGTTTTGGCTGCGCTGCAGGAACCACAGACTGTACATAAAGACGGACGATATGACGGACCAGAAAGTTGAAGGCCAGGCGTCTTGATGGTCACCTGTTGGCTGGATGCATTAGCTCATAGGTCATAAATCCTGCCTCCTCTATGTTAATGGTAGGACAAGGACCAAACTAAAAAGTCAAAGTAAGTACACATCAAATACATTTTACCTGAAGATGGTTTCCGTCAGTTCTTATCACATCGACTTGTGTCCAAGTCTAGTCTTTATTTGTTATTTAAAGCTCTAAAAATGGGGTGAAACGTCATGATTGACAGCTTAGACTGACTCATGATTGGTCAAAAGCATGTTATGTCAGGATACTTGGAAGAAGTGGAAATCTGTCTTTATTTAAAGACTATGGTAGGAACAAATGAACAACCAATTTACAAATAGCCAGTAACTATCCAATAAGTTTAATTCAATGATTTAATTTAATTCAATGATGGTTGAAGAGGAGAGGAGATGCCTGTGGGCATGTGAAGGGAAAAGTACTCTTTGGTTGAAATGCTCTCAACGCACATACACATCGAGGCCTAGTTGCAAGTGAACAGTGGTTTTCGTAGCAATAAATGGGCCATCAGTGCGATGTCATGTAAGATCCTGATGACTTGCATCATGCAGACCTGCACAAGAGAATAAGATGTAGGAGGAAATAATGGCGACAGGTTTTCTGGCCAAATGTGATCGTGGTCTCTGCATTCATAAAAATGGCAATTGGGTGGTTTGGACAGATTCATGTTCCACCTCTGACTCTTTGATTGATCATTTGCTAATAGAAGGTCTGTAATGATAGTGTTTGTCATCGACTCCAGCCTCACTGCTTACACTCTGTCTATGGATCAAACAGATCAATAGATAATATGCTTGGACTGGCCTTATCTACACAACCATCTAACATTTCAATAACCCAGCCAGCATTTATCACCTCCTCCACATTCAGCACCAGGACATCAACCTGCTCCACAGTGGCACCACAACACACACCACACAGGTGAGATTCAGCCTCATTCAGGAAAAATCTGAGTGTGTAACTTTCACCTTGTTGATTCGATTCTGAGGAGGTAATTATTGTTGACACAACCGCCAACCTCCCTCGTAGATTGGAATTCACCTCGTTATTAGTGCACAGCTGATTTTCCAGGCTCAGAGGAAGTGGCTGGGGACACATTGGAGTTCTGCAGAAGCTTTAATATCTAACTTGTGTCAATGATCTTAATTACCTGGTAAATCTGATTCTTCATATACACTTTTTGTTTGAGCCAAGCTTGAACTATCTTTGCTTTATTTTATGAAGCAGATTTAAATGCAAATCACAGTTACATAGAACATTATGAAGCGATATTAATAAAAGAACTCTCCCGACTTCTTCTAGTCTTTACTTATTTATATAAACTGCTCTCCACTGAACATTTTATTGCATATAACTACTGATGTATGATTTTTATAAGCCACATGACATCCATGCATTAGAATATCTCTCTTTTCAAGTTATTTTCCTCGTCATAAATCAGTAGTCTGTGTCTGGCAATTAAACAAGTTGTGAGAAGAAGGTAAGGAGCTTAATGGTTGCATGAGTGAGCTCAGGAATGTTGTGTACATGCCTGACATCTACAGCTACAGTATGAAGGTTTTAGCCATGATACAAACTCCATTGTATCATTTTCTGTAAAGAATTGTATAAAACAAAAACATTTTCTGAAGGAGCCAGTGTGAGACTATGGAAATTTTAGACCACTCCCAAGTAAACAAGATGCACTTTCCAGCAGTGTGTATACAGCTGGGTTTGCACCAAAGTGAGGAAAGAGTCACTGAATAAATGTTTGTCAGGCTGCATGCACACACTCATTTGTACATGTCACGTTGAAGAGGCCTTAAAACTGGGGCATGCAGCCTCCTGTGTTTGCATGCTGGATTACTCACAGATCCTGTATGGAAAGATTCAGGATTTCCACATTATGAACCACAGCACTGTTTGACTGTATTTTTTTTCTTGGCTGCCAACATCTTTCATAAGAGTGGAACACTGAAACACAAGAGAAAGTTTGCTGCACCACTGGAGCACTGCTCAGTTAGAGCTCTCATCTTAATACTTCCTCAAACATGCTCTCTCTCTCGCTCTCTCTCTCTCTCCACACACACATGTGAACACACACTTTCCTCCTCCCTCTCCCTCCTCCTCCTTCTCTGTAACCAACACACACACAGACACACAGTCTTGTCACTGAGTGTGAGCGTCTCACCAGTAAGGATGACTGGAGGAGTAAGTGCTGCATAGGCTTCAGCATTGGGAGAGTGTGTGTGCACATGTGTGTTTGGGTGGACTCCCACTGTATAATGGTGCCCCGTGTGTGACTGGGCTGACCACGACAACCATACGCTCCACAGCGGGGACTCTTTTCTCAGCATACAGATGGTGTGAGGGGGAAAAGTTTTTCAGCTCACTCAGATCCACTCTGCACGCAGCAGCAGCAGCAGCAGCAGCAGGAGAGGAGCTGAAGTACAACCTCAACCTGTCTCAGTCCAGGATTTTTGCGGGTGTTGATTGATTACCTGTCACTGGATTGGATAAACTGGTCGAGCATCACCACACACATCACTGGTGAGGGATTCAACGAGGCTGTTTGAGAGGTGAGTGAGTTTGCTGTTTGACGTTGTACTGTTGCATTGCGTGGTTTTGCCTCTGGTGTGTCGGTTTACCTGAGTGATATATGATTGTTTTGGGGAAGTGCCTCTAATAAACTTGAGCTAAATTCAAGATCCAGACATGATTTGGCATGAGGAATGAATGAATGAATGAATCAATCAATATAGCCCTTGTTCAGAGAGAGCCACAAGTGAGTGTATTACACAAAAGAAAAGAAGGAATGTGGAGATGCTGTAGTCAAGTAAAGTGACTGATGGGTCCATTGTGGAAGGATAAAGTCACACTTACATTTATGTAATCTATACTCTAGGAAAGCATCCCTGGAGTGGAACTTCATGTGAAATTGCAGTAGTTAATCCATTGGCTATATAGCAAAGCAACACAGCAATATCTTTCAGATAATGTGCTTCGGTGGCGGCCCAGATCTGTTTAAGGCTACTTGTTATTTTTACATGTATTTCATTTAACCCCAGAACACATGCAGAGGAGATCAGCAAGTGTATCATTTTATCATTTTACTCACTGAACAATGTTGAGATACAGATCAGAGCTGTTAGTGACTTCTAACACTGTTCATGTTGTAAAGGATTTGGTGGCTATAGGTTAATGGTTCATCGATGTGGTCTATTGTCACAGTGTTGAACCAGTGACAGAGCTCATCCAGCCGTGTCACCAGCACAAAGTGTCATATTGACATTTGAGAAGAGATTGGGCACCACTGGGGAAAATAATCACACACAACCTTATATATATATATAGCAGTATATATATATATATATATATAGGAGCTGGGACTCTATAATCTTTATCCAAAGCCCATTAGCAACATTGTTGGTGTGTAACTGAAACGCTGACTTACGTAACTGTAGCAATGCCTCATCCGTTTTCTGGACTTTTCAGGTGACACAGTTAAAATCCTGTAGTTCTGCTGGACCAGCGTTTTACAAGGACTTTCTTATTCTGGTGCACGACATACAGATGGTGAGACCGGTGCATGTGCCATCCAAAACACTGACCCCCCCCCCTCCACCCTGTCTGAAGAAAACTCGATTACGTCTGGATTAATGCGCTGTATTTGCTGCATGTGTGAGGATGACTTCACATGCACACCAAACCAATACTATTAAAAAGAAGCAGAAAATGGGAGAGGAAAAAGAACGATGAAAGTAGGGTGAGGAGAGGACAAGTGTGTCAATGGAAAAGGAAGATAGGGAGGCGAACAGGGCATATGAGCTGAGGTAAAAGGAGGGAACGATATGATGAACCCCGTGTGCCAGGAATGTCTGCAGTGCATGAGCTATGCTGCTGGAAAGCCCAGGGATCAGGTTCCCCGTGTCAGCTGCTGCCCTCGACTGTTCCCAGGTCTGACTGTGACATCTGTTTATTGAGACAGAGAGAGGGATGGAGACGAGGACGGAGGACACTGCAGCAAAATTGGAGTTCAGTTAGATTCAAGTAAAAATCATAGGTAAAGGTATCACATTTTCGGAAATGCACTTATTTGCTTTCTAGCCCACTCCTCCTTTTTGTCTGTTTCGTCTGAAGCTTTCAAAAGATGTGCACAAATGAACAATAGATATTAAATCATATCTATCATTGAGCATAAACGAGCCTTTATAGTTTCCTTATTAAAACACCACTTAGCTACGTTTCTTACAGTCCTGGCTAGCCATCAGGTAATATAACCATAGCTACATTTCCATGCATCATGCAACTCTCCCTATTATCAAAAAAAATGCCCACCAAAGATTCACCTTGCAGCCTTGCTAAAAAGCACTGTAAGCACCATGGTCTTCTTCTGTAGTTGTTTTTTCGTTGGTGGCTGTCACATCGGCAGATTGGGCTCCAACAAGTGTGGCTTACAGAAATACTATTCCTGAACCCACCAGTGACTTTAGTAGCTCATTTCTGTGGGACAGATAGATAGATAGACCCTCAGCACCTACTGGGCTCCATGAACTGGTTCAATTGAATAAATGGGTGATAACAGCCTCCTAACCCTCCAGTAGGTTTAGTAGGCCCCAACTAGCCGATATGTATGGGACAGATAAAGTGCAGTCAAATGAGATGTGTCTCACACATAGGTCTTATACATATAAGGCTACAACCAGCAGCAGAATCTGCCAATAAGAACTTATACAATTGAGAAATTATACAGTATGTATAAATAAACTATAAGGCAAACCACAATCCAGCTCCAACTCCCCAAAAAACACATTGATTTGCCTCTGTTTCCACTCACTATGCTAAACTCAGCTGCTGGCAGACATGAAAACAATATCTTCTCATCTAACTTTCTGCCAAAAGTGAATTAAGTGGAATAAAAATGTCAAACTACCCTTTCAACATCTGTTAAATGTACCTAATACTGGCTAGTTCACTGAGTAAATCTATAGTAGGGTGACATTTACGAAGGTTGAAATGCAGAGTCAGCTTATCTCTCCGCAAACTGCCACTGCGAGCAATATATCCTTGGGGAGGAAATGACCACAGGTGTGATTTTCAGTTCAGCCTCACTTTTTGACCTTGTGCTTCTTATTTTGTGAAGAAAATATCGTCCTGTGTTCATGTGTCTGCGTTAACAAAAGCCACATCAACAGTATCAGTAGTTGTAACAGTCGACACGTAGAATGAGTCAGAGGCCGTTGTGAAGTCTTCACCCTCAACTCTCTGCACGGCCATGGCTCAGCTCGCAGACATACTGTGACACATGCTATGGGGGAAAATAGAGAGGGAGGGGTTGCAAAGCGAGTGGAAGAGTTACAAGTGTATCACACCAAAGGGCTGGATCGTAGACTGTGGAGGGGGCGTCTAAATCAGTGCGTAGACGAAATAAGACACTGACTCATCACATTGATTCATACAGGAAGGCCTGAGAGTTTATTAGGCTTTTAAGCAAAAAGAAAATTTATTGCCATGAACTAATCCTTCTGTGTTTGGGATACCTTTCACTGTCCACCCTCACCTCCCCTTCTCGCTTCCTGCTGCCATCCATCCACCGCTGTGACTCACGGTGGGTTGTGGGTAGTGACTGATCATGGATTTACCCCACAATAAAGGTTCGCCTTTTAGACGCTGTGTGTGTGTGTGTGTTTGTGTACATGTGCACGTGTGTGTGTGTACGTACTCATTTTTGTTACCTCTTAAGGAGGACCTCTTCCAGTACAAACACTGACCTTGTCAAGACCAATTGACCTCATGGAGACCACAGCCTGGTCCTAATCACACAAAACATCTTTTATGAGGTTCTAGTTAAAGTCAGGGGATTGATGTGAATAGTGATTAGGTTAAAGTTAGGGTTAGGCACAAATGGTCATGGTTAAGGATGGTTAATTAGGGATAAGGTTTTGGTTAGGTTGTCCACAATGAATGGAAGCCAATGCAAAGACTTATGACAGGGTTAGAATAGGGTAAGGGTTAGAGGATCTATTATGCCAACAAAAGTAGTACAGAAATGTGTGTTTTGTGTGTGTGTCTATGTGTGTGTGTGTGTGTGTGTGTGTGTGTGTGTGTGTGTGTGTGTGTGTGTGTGTGTGTGTGCATGACGCATGAGTACTTCCATCTGTGACCACTCTGAAAACCTTCTTCTTTCACATCCTCTCCTGCCATGAGCACTGCGAGGAACATGCCCTCCTCTCACCTCTCTGACTTTGCAGCAGGAGTCTCAACAGAAACATGCAGCTCTCGAGGTAGCAGCTTTGGTAGCGGAGGGTTATATTTGTCTTTAACACATGTGGGTCACGGAGGCCCCACTGTTCAGACTCTGTGGGGAGAGGTTGCTCAGGGATATTTAAAGGGTTGACAGCACTGACTGGTAATGTAGAGTTCATGTTTCCTCTGTTGCATGTTTTGTTGTGTTTTTGCTGTGAGCTGGGTGCTAAGAGCACATACACACACAAAATAAGAATCACGGGTTATCTATATCTATCTATTGGTATAAAAACACACAGATAGATAGATAGATAGATTTCATGCACCGTTGACCTTTGGATCATCCAAGAGAAGTTGGCATGGAGGGATCATTGCTTGGGCCAGCGTAGAGAGAAGCAGCTGAGGACTGAAGACAGACAGATGCTAATAGCCCTGTCTGCCACACGTAAGAGGACATGAATAAAGAATTTGTGTCTGCTATTAACCAGTAGGCATTTATATGGCTTTAAATAAGAGGAAGCAAGATTATATTTATTACTCTGATCAGTGGTAACCTGTAATATGAACACAATAAAATAATGCTATATATTGGTACATTAGTATGTTGGTAAAACGCACTTAACATGTCGACCGGCCTGTGACACTTCTTAGCAACCACAGGATGGGAAAGGCAGTTGGTAGTTTGTGGAGTTCAGTTTGCTGAACTGCTCCCTCGCAGCTGTTTTGACCGACCACTTCCTGTGGTCACACAGGATTTTCTGCCGCTGTCGCTGCCCGACACCAACATTTTCAGCAGGTTATAAGCAACACTCTGTATAATCTTGGGGAATTTCCTCTTTTCTTTGCGGCTCAAACATATGATTTATGTGACTGTTGTATTTTTACCCCTCAAGTCTTCCCGAGCACCACTTTACTCTCCGAAAAAGATGAGCTAGACGGTGAAGTGCAGGCCTCAACCCCTTCCCAACAAACTGGCTCAATTCAGACAGGTCATGCTTTTGTGTGCTGTCAGCTTCACTACTTTCCAATAATGGGAGCAAACAGTCCTTGTGTGCACAGACAACCTCGATGCTGTGAGACGGGTTCTCATGAGGGACCTCAGTATCACATGTCAGACATTTGTTCTCAATAGTCTTATTTGATCAGTGTGTTGATATCATGTTCTCCAGGATGTAGGCACCATGTGGCGTCTCTGACATCAGTTGCTAAAAAAAGTTGCTCTCACTTATTTAAGTCTACATATGGAGAACTGTGCATCATCTCCATGGATCCCCACAAAATGCAGGGCCCAGTTTACATCAAATGGTTTTGTCACAGGAAACATTGCGTCTGCATGAGCACGCAGACAGACAAAGAACATATATACTTATGTGTCCAAAAAGAGACAAAGACTAATTGCAGAATGACATATTTGTAGCCTTCCTCTCTTCTTTTCACTTATGTATGTGGGCTTTGAGCTCATTCTTTCTTTGTGACTGCCACAGAGCCACAGATATGTTGCATTCTGCTAAGAAATTATAGTGCATGCCGCAAAACCTTTGGGGGCTGACTCGTGTTGTCATTTATAGTGATCTGACCCTGTGTGTGTGTGTGTGTGTGTGTGTGTCCTGTACACTGAGCTGTTGTTGTTTAAGGTGAAGGTCAGAGTGTCTCCTCCCACAGATGTCCTACTATGGTCAAAGTTCTGAGACCTGCTGTGAGAAAAATTCCGGTATTTCCTTGAACACTTCAGGGTACTTGACAGTTGAATCAGATCCGTGTTACCATACATAAGCAGATGGTAATGTGTTAATTTGCTGCATTAACTGGAAATTAAATCCTCCTCTCCTTCATACTGCCACCAGAGATTGATCAAAATGAGCTTGAGTAACATACATGTCCTGTTTCCTTGTTTACAGTTTCGCTTCTCTACTCTTTTTGTCAAGGTTGTTGAATTACATCACGATTACACACCTGGCTCCACTGCTTATTTTGGAAACTGAGGCTCAGGGGAGAGAGACAAGGCTGCCACGCAGAAAGATGCACATGCAGAACCTGCACAGCGTGTATTGTAACTGCAGGTGTTTTACAGGAACACAGGTTTTTAATGTGCTGAACAGACAAAACAGTTGGGTAGTTATGTGTCCGGAGTCTCCACAGTTGCTTTGTATACGTGCAAACAGCCACATCTGGGACCATCTGGGAGAAGTGTCTGCGAAAATAACAGCTAATTTGACAACAAGGTTTGAAAACAGGTCAGCTGTCTTCGCCTTTAGTCCTTGTTAGGTTGTTGCGTTAAACTTAAGGGAACTAGACAAATGCACTTGCTTTGCCAGTGTGCTCATTAGCCCCTGTAGCACCTCTACTGTTAGGATTTATCATTATGTGCCAGTCTCACAAGAAGCCTGGGATAGTTACCAAACTGAAAAAAATCAAAGGAGTGAGTCAATGAGAAAATGATCCAGCAAATCAAACGTCAGCAGCTTTTCATGCAACTGTAGCTGAAAATCCATGTGAGTTAACTCTGTGCTTCAGTAGAATAAAATGAATGAATGGTTTAGGAAGTTGAGTCTAGAAAACTAAACAATATCCAACCTACTTGGAAACTTGGAAACCACATGACTCGTGGAAATGGAATTTTCATGAGACTTTAAGAACTAAAGTAATCCATATATTGTAAATATGTTTTGGAAAAAATAAAAATCACAACAATTTAAAAATGAAGATGAATGATTAATAATACCCCCAGATTGAGAGTATGCAACGGTCACTCTGATTGGACACTATGAGTGCAAAGGCTCATGGGACATATAAATGCCCCAGTTGAATATAGCTGTTTTGGTGAATGCGTTTTTTATGTATATGTGTTCAGGAGACTTTTAAGTTGGGTTCTATGTCTACCAGTTCTATGTCACATGAATAAAGTTCATGTTAAAGCTGCACAAATCATGTTGCTTGTTGTAACACACTACAAAACACAGGTTGTGAGTTGTATCAAAATATATTATACTTACTACCATGCAGACTCGCAGTAGTACTCACAACCTAATGCTGATTCACTGGATTTATTTGCTAGAACCCACATTTTGTTTTTCATCAGGAACATTAAAATGAAGATGAATAATTTTCCCATGGCCACAATTCATCATAGTGTTTCTGAATAAGCCAGAGAACCACCAACTTTTCAACAAAAAAAAAGAATCTTATTCTGCTTGTCTGGTAATTTATAACTTAGTAATGATTATGCCTTCTGTCCCTGTGCAGCAATTTATTACCTCTGGACTAGAACACAGTGTGATGTAAAGTTTAAATAGTGTTTCTACTCTGCAGCCACCTCAGAGAAATTCACATTAAGAAACCCCCAAGTTATTTACCATTTCACTTTGAGGCAGCACAAGGCCCGGTCCCTGCACTGCAGTTAACTATAGTCCCCAGTCCAGGAGGCATGCAATTGGAAAGGGCTGTGGCACCAGACTGGCAAGTAGGTGACTCCATCAAAACAATGTGTGCACCAACCCTAGGCTGTGAATTATGTGTGTGTGTGTGTGTGAATGTGTGTGTCCATATGTGAAAATATACTTTGCTCAAGCTCACAAAATCATTTATATGAGAAGCAGCAGGAGTATTTAAGACGTTATTCACCCAACATTAGTGTTATATGATCCAATAAGATTTTCCTGAATAATGGTGATAGCAATAATGATAGTTTTCACTGCTGGTGAAGTGCATTGCACACTTTTGAAGGTGAAGCAAAGATGAAGTATAGAGATTGTGGCTTTCACAGTGCAAAGAAAATCCCTTCTTTCTGAGAGGAATGCAGAGGATCGAGCATGTTTCTGCATGCACATGCATACGGGACACGCAGCTTGGATTGTGCATGAGACCAGGCAAAGTTTTGAAATCACCGTAACAGTCCCTGCTGCACTTGCTGCGCCATTGTCTGCAACACCGCTGGACTGCATCTGGTGCTCATCTGCACCTCATATGGACCTGTGGGCTGTTTGGACGAGCACCAGGCCGAGCTCGGCCTGAGCCACTGATAACAAAGGCCGTGCTTAAAGCCAACAGCAGCACTCACTGAGGAGAAGCGTATATCCAGGGATGATGCAGCAGCTTAGACTATATGTGCAGGGTGGTTTATTGCACGCATAGTGTTGTGGTGAATGTGTTTAAGTGTGTGTTATGGTACGTTTGAGGAAGCAGGCGGGTGGGGTTTGGGGATTTTTTTTAGACATTCAAAGGTTTAGTCTATGGTCTTGTTATCTGGCTCATGAATTCCTCCTCCCACATTTTCCCTACTGTCAAAGTCTTCTTTGCAACACTCAAATCTATCGGACCCGGATTTCATAATAGTCCATGAAAGACAAACCACAGTGTGCATGGAGAGCGTTAAAGAGTTGACATCTCTAAACCATAAAAACGAAATAAAGAACAATAACCCCAAACGCATCCCTGACACATACCTTGAATTCTGTTAGAAATAAAAGATCAAGGTCATGGAGACCTCAAGTTCTTGTGAATTTGATATATCAGGAAAACTCCGGAAATTTCACAAGATTCCTTTTTGCCTTGTTAATGTGTTTTCTTAAGAACACCTCACAAGAATCCTTTCAAATTTGGCACAAATGTTGACTCAGAAGCACAGATCAACTGATTAGATTTAGTTGGGCAAAGGTCAAAGGCCATAGTGACCTCACAATCCATGTTTTTGGCCCCTTGAACTTGCATCTCAAGTCTGCCTTTAGGGACATTTTTTAAGATCTTCACCAGTTGACACAGTGACCTCATAAGAACCTGGATGTTTTTTTTTTCTGCAGACTGAAACTAAAATGCACAAACTGTGGGAAGTATGAATTCTGCATCCTCTTTGTTGCCAGATGTCTTTGTTTACCTCATGTGTGATCTTCTTGGAATCAGCAGTTTCTGTAAAGATATTTAAACTCTTGTGTCCGTCTGCAGATCAGAGCTGCTGCAATGGAAGACCAGTGTGTGTCCCACAGCAGTCCCCAGCACAGCGGAGGTCCGGCCAGCGGCGACGTTCAGAGGCAGGGGCGGCCGAATGTCATCAGGTGTGGGTGGCTCAGGAAGCAAGGAGGCTTTGTCAAGACTTGGCACAGTCGCTGGTTTGTGCTGCGAGGGGACCAGCTTTACTATTACAAAGACGAGGAGGAGACCAAAGCCCTGGTAAGGCTGCAAACACACAACTAAAGTCTAAGCCCGACTCATCTTGAAATCATAGCATCACACACTCACACACACACACACACACACACACTCAATCACTGGCGCTGATCACTCAGTTTGGAATGAAAACTCACAGCAGATTTCGACAGTTGTCAGCTAAATCAAAAAAATCCATTTGATCTCTTCTGAGCTGTTCAAGTGAGCAAACAGATGGAAACTTATTCACTGGGAAAATGTGGACAACAACTCAATGTTTACTCAACATTAACTTAAGAACTGTGAACATTATTTTGACAAAGGTTACTTACTTAGTACAAGTATTTCCACTTTATGCTACTTTGCTCTTCTACTCCACCACATTTAGGAGATAAATACTGTAAAATTGACTCGACTCTATAAATCTTGCAGAAGTAGCTCCTGACTTTGTAGCTTTTTAATAGAAATGCATTATCTGATAAAAGCATACACAAGACTTTAAACCAGTTCTTCTAAACCTTTTTTCATGTGTTCAGTCTTTTTTAAGCTCTTGGCCTTTAAGGACTTTTGACTTATTTCTTCCTTGCATTTGGATTTTGGATTCATGTCTCTGCTTGAGTTGTGTGTTTTGTTTGTGGTGCAGATTTGAAGTTACCTCCGGTTATTTGTTACTTAACCTCTTTTCTCAGTTCAGTGTTGTTACTACCTCTATCTAATTATCTGGTCTATATATATCAGTTCTCAGTTTCTCATCAGTGTCTCGTTAGTTTCTTAGTGTTGTACTTCTGCTTCTTCTCGCATTTATAGCATTTGAGTTGGGCTTCCACAGTCTTTTACATCTTGAGACTTTTGGATACCACTGCTTCCAAACAAACAAAATTGTGTTGCAGAATTAAGGTTGTTTAACTTCTTTGCTCTCTCATTAATCGCCTCACAACCACCCAGATTTTTCCTTCAGGAGAGACAAGATGAGGGTCCATGAGCTTACACATTGATGATTGGCAATCTATTGTTGTTGATCCCGTCTAAAATCAAAACATACAGTTATGTATGCAGGTGATTATCATTCAGTATATAACAAAACCACAAACTACTGATATCTAATATAGTACCAGAATTAATGAAATAAAAACTATTTGTACGTTAAATTACCAATATTGACTTTTAATGGGGATAATTGGTAAACAGAAAATAATATAAATCCTGTTAGCATTGCAATAGGTGTTCTTTAGATGGCAGGTTAATTAGCATTCTACAATACTTATAGTTCATTTTCATTATCACACTTTGCAGCGGTATCAAACTTTTGCAAACAAAAGGGACAGTCTGTCATCCTCAGCTCCACTTTCTGTTATTATGTTATTTTGTGCACATTATGTTATTTTGCTCAATCTATCATCATGGCCCTGAAATGGTGGATGAACACATCAACACAGACCCGACTCTGATTCAGATGAGTCGGGTTGTTTTGACTGTTTGACGACAAAGTGAACTGCTGCACAAAACGGCAAAACGCACAAAAGCTCCAGTTAAATCAGAGGAGACGATGAGTAATGCTGGCAATAAGGCAGCGTCACTAACGTTACTGTAACCAGGCAGCGTCTCTCCCTGAGCATGTGTGGAGGGAACAAAGAAGCAGCCACACATATTTCACATCATGTGGAAGACACATGATTGATTCCACAAGTTTAGTTGAAGGAGCCCATGTATGTTTTTAACAAACTTGTCTCTTCTGGTGAAGTTGGAGTGACGACTCTGATAGAATCTGGTCTCATTGATTAATGCTATTTCTGTTTCAGGGCTGTTCAGGGATCAGTTTGCTGGAGGATTAAGTGTCAGTGAGTCAAGGACAGCTGAAAACAGAGGACAGGGGATATTAAAGGAGGGGCTTTTCATTTTGGGAAATATAATCAATCTCATAGTATCTACCAGATAGAGATATTGCACACTTGAATATGTTTTTTGAGTTGTAAACTAAATTATATGACTGTTCTTTGATGAAAAATTAGTTACTTAACATGTCATGTTTTGCATTTATAGAAGTTTCAGACCAGATGCTGTGTTTTTCTTTGCAAAGAAATAAAAATCCACAAATATCCACAACTTTTCCTAATATCTATTCCGCCCCATTGATATCCTGTCTTTTTCCATGGGAAAATATGGGAGCACAATTGAAATCTTCATTCTGCTCATCTACCCACACTTTTTTCTTTGTCTGGCTGTTTTCCCAGCATGCTCAGCTGCCGCCAAGCCCAAGCCACATCAGCAGCAGCAGTCTCTGAAGGTTGAAGCAGCAGACCTGAAGCTGGGCTGCTGGCCAGATACAGAGAAAGGAGATTTTCCTTATTGCTATTTCTGGGCAGCTCCATATTTAAAGTTACATTTCAATTCTCGTGCAGTGAACATCCTGAGGGAATGATGCAAACACTGTGGAGTAATTCTTCATCATATGACAAGAAACAATTAGTCTCGCTTTAAAATCAGTCTCCTCATCTATATTTATACACCCAGATATACTATACTATATCAATGTCTGTATAACTTCAGCCACCTGAGCAAAACTCCACTCTTCTGTGCAACCTTCCATTCTTTTACCCTTCTTCTAAAATAAAGCCGACATAAATTTCAGATACCTTAACCTGCAACTTTTTTTTGTGCAGAGAATGGGGAATTCAATAAAACTAGGTCAGGCACAGGGAAGTGCATTGAAAGCCCTTAAATCTCCATGACCTCCGAAGTGGAGCAGCGCAAAAACACCCAAACAAGATACAGTACCCGGCAGTGAACGAGATAACTATAGTCCAGAGATTTCTAACACCCTGAAAGAGAGAACACTAGAAGGGCAGAGAGGAGAGGCAGCCTCGTCTGAAATTGTTCTGAGCCTTGAACACCGATGTTCAAGATCAGGGCAATAATATACACTCACACACACAATAAATCTTAGTGTGTGTGTGTGTGTGTTTGTGTGTGTGTGTGTGTGTACTGTGAAGTTGAAGTTAAACTTCCCTGTCCGGAGCCGTCCTGGACCACATGATGTAGAGGTGTGAAGCCATATTTAGATCAGAGATTAATTAATTCTCTCACGTCCCATGAAGTCTCCATTTATCTCCTGTCACATTAACGTAATTGCTGTCTCCTCAACCGGAGCAGCGGCGTCTGCCCTTATACGTTGCCAGTGGAAACGCAGACGCCAACGAAACTCAGACACATCACACTTTTACACATAAAGGCTGCGTCAGAGATATTTCCAAGTTTGATTCTTCTGGTGCATTCACATGGTGTCAGAATATTTCGAAAAATTAGCCCCAGATTGGGAAAGTTCATGTGAACTCGTCCTTGAGTGGGAACAACAACCCAGAAATTCTGCAAAAGGTTTGGCACACATTTTGTTTGATTAACACGCACATGATTTAAATTATTTATGTGCTTTATTTGCTCTTTGTTAATATGCAGATGTTAGAAAGAGGCGTCAAGTTGTTTAAACACTCTTGACACATAAAAACCATATATTGTGTTTACAGCGTCCAGGTTTTTTCCACATTGCAACCTTAAAGTACATGAACACACGAAGAACAACGGTAGAGGAGCATGTGAGCACAGTTCATATCTTACACCTGAGTGGCAGATAATGCTGATATGAATTGTTTTCTCTTGGCTATATATTAATTCCTGTTAATGCAGATAACAGATCAGAAAACAGTTGGATACAACAGATTATAACTTGGAGCTACAAGAATGTTTTCTCGATGTGTTTGTGCAGTAATGCAATCAAATGCTATGCTCATGACATAGTACAAAAACTGTCCTGATTTAGTCGTACATAGACCAGTGAACGGGACAAGCATTCAACAAATTATTTATACAGATATAATATATTGGATTTTTTCACATGCTGCTGCTCAGAGGACTTCTGATGTTGGTTGATAAAAACATTCTGTGGGGCGTATGATAATTGTCAGTACAGGGGACCCTGCTGTGTCCCGTACAGAGGGGCCAAACCTCTCTGAGCAACGTGCGGAATCTGAAGAATGGGAGTCGGATGGAGGTGAAGGGTCAGTGAAAAGCATGCGTCGGGTTTGGCACGTGTGGGCTTAGCGTCAACATACCATCTGCCTGCCCACACTCGTCCGTGGAGATGTAGAAGCACGCAAGCATGTATGTGCTACACACATCCACATCCACACACACACACACACACACACTCAGATTTCACATGGCCGAGTCATAAACAAAGACAGAATTCATCCAGTGACGGAATTGGAATTATTATTGTAATTTAAACTACTCAGCATTGGAGCTGTATGACAGGGAAGCAAGTGAATGGGAGAATTGTCAATGAATACATTGAAGCATTTCTAGTTTACTACAATGTATTTAGAAATGGAAGAGGATATTAGAATTCTAAGACGTACAAAGTTGGTTAATTCATATTCATAGAATCGGGGGGGCAGACATGAGGATCTGAAGCCAAAGTGGTTGGCTATAATGAGAAATCGCATTAAATCAATAATTCAACGGTGCAATAATGCTCTAGAAATCCTCTGTTATCTCTTCTGGAGCTGGGAACAGCTTGACCTTGGCATTTAACAGGAGTAAATAAAATGCCACCGCAGTTCTGTAATTATTCACACTGAGAGACTGTGTCGTCTTAGTGCTGCTTTCATGAAACATTAACATTGTGCCGTTCGTCTGACCTCCTCCGCACACTGACAAAAACAGACGACGGCTACACTTGTGGCTTTTACGACACGGCGTGAAGACATCTCTGGTCGTCAGTGTTTCAATAGTACGTCCATTAAAACTCAGAGACTGTTCTCTTGGATCCCTGTGTGATGACTGCATGTTTGATAAGCTCTGAATCGATGGAGGGAAAAGCCAGTTCACTCTCACTGGACTCCCAACGAGTTCTTGCAAGAACTGTTTTCTGAGCTCTTCTCTCTGCCTCTGATACCTGAGGTGGTAACAGGGCCCTGCTATGAATTCCAGGTATGTGCAGGTGCAGTATTTATACGAGACAGGGACCA